TGGACAGAAACATTGGTTGGCGCTTGGGAAGTCGTCGGAGCATTCACCGTTGACTGTTGACGGGCGGAGTCACGTTCCGCCGTGAGCGTCGCGATTTCGAGCGCCGAATCCTCCAATTGTCGCACGAGACGATCGAGTTGCTCCTGCGTCAACGTGGCGAGAGTGAGGTCGGCCATGGCGGGGGTGTCGGGCAAGCTCAGCGAGAGCCTCTGTCGTGGCCGTGCGTGCTTACGAGAGAGCACTACGAGCGGCGGTGCTTGATCGCTGAGAGACGTCTACCCCCCCCAAAAATTGAGATAGTGGGAAGCGAAGGTGTGGATGCGGTCCGAGATGAGATCGTAGGCTCTGATAACCAAGTGTTACGAGTGCAATTAAGTGAACGAACGAGAATTGCACTATCGAAGCAAGAGTACAATGAGCGAAGGCATGAGCGAAGGGTTATATAGCGAAACTAAAGTGGTAACGGTAATGGACTGTGGTTGTCGCGCGACGAGCCTGGGACTGAGGTTGGGAAAATGTCGAAGCGTAGGCCCGGAGCGCGGGTTACCAGCCGAGCCGTGAGGTCGGGATGCGATGTGCGAAAAGGGCGGGATGATGAATGATGCGATGGTCGCAAGTGGTAACGGTGCTGACTGAGGTACTACAGTGATGTACGCGTTGAGCAGGGACGCGAAGTAAGGAAAAGGGAATTTCCTTACACCTACACAAGAATATGGTAATACCGGTAAGAACCACAACACAAGCCCAGCCACAACAAGCCACAACACAGCCACCATGTCAAACATCATATATGTTATGCTTGTGTAGGCTACAGTGGGTTAGCCTATAGGGGGTACACAATTCTAGGGTTTCCCACTTGTACTCATTTTCACTGCTAGTTCATCCATTCCTGTTCGCTTATTCTCACATGGTATCAGAGCGCAGCCTCACCCGCACCTGAGGAAGCAGACTCACTAGCACCTAGAGCAGCAGCCGCACCTGTACCTGGAGCAGGAGACTCACTAGCACCCAGAGCAGCAGCCTCACCAGTAGCTAGAGCAGCAGGTCCTAAACCTGGGTCAGGCGGGACGCACAGGTGACCGGCACGGTCAGCACTAGTAGGCAATGCATACATGGCAGTGAGAATAGCATCATAGTCAAGAGCATATATATCTACCCTCTGCCTAAGCAACTCCACCCAGTCGGGAAGCTCAGCCTCGTCGCCAAACACGGTACGCCAGGCGTCGCTCAGACGGGCGAAGCAGCGGGACGGTGTATGACTACGTGTCCCACAAGGCTGACCAGTCCGAGTACCAGTGCGAATCACGTAGGGCTCTCCACCTGTCTTCAAGGCGCGGTACGTTGCTCGTGGCTTCAGTCAGCGGCAGGGAGTTGACTACTTTCAGACCTTCTCTCCCACCCCGAAGATGACCACTCTTCGGGTGCTGCTGCACATAGCCGCTCAGCGCGACTACGAGCTTCACTCTCTCGACTTCAGCACTGCGTTCCTGCAGGGTAGCCTGCACGAGGAGATCTGGCTGCGCCGTCCACCTGGCTTCACTGGGACTTTCCCTCCTGGCACCCAGTGGAGCCTCCGACGGCCAGTCTATGGTCTCCGCCAGGCACCGCGTGAGTGGCACGACACACTGAGGACTACGCTTGCGGCTCTTGGGTTTGCTCCTTCTACTGCTGACCCGTCGCTGTTTCTGCGCACCGACACTTCACTGCCGCCGTTCTACATCCTCGTGTACGTCGACGACTTGGTCTTTGCCACAGCGGACACTGCTGGACTCGCCTACGTGAAGTCCGAACTGCTGAAGAGACACACGTGCACAGACCTGGGTGAACTGCGCAGCTACCTTGGCTTGCAGATCACTCGGGACAGAGCACGCCGCACCATTACCTTGACTCAGTCACACATGGTGCAGCAGGTCCTTCAGCGCTTCGGCTTCACGTACTCCTCGCCTCAGGCCACTCCTCTGCCTACTCGCCACTCACTCTCAGCTCTGCCTTCGGATGAGTCCGTAGAGTCGAGTGGTCCGTATGCAGAGCTTGTTGGCTGCCTCATGTACCTGATGACCTGCACACGACCTGACCTTGCATACCCTCTGAGCATTCTTGCACGCTATGTTGCTCCTGGGAGACACAGACCAGAGCACATGGCTGCAGCGAAGAGGGTATTGCGCTACCTGTGCAGTACGTCGGGCATGGGGCTTGTGCTTGGAGGGCGGAGTCCAGTGGTCCTTACCGGCCACGCGGACGCTTCTTGGGCTGACGACCAGGCTACGCAGCGGTCGTCACAGGGTTACACCTTCAGCCTTGGTTCCGGCTCTGTCTCGTGGCGGTCTACTCGCTCGTCTTCGGTTCTCGGCTCCAGTTGTGAGGCTGAGATCTACGCCGGGGCCATGGCTGCACAGGAGCTTCGCTGGCTCACCTACCTGCTGACTGACCTTGGAGAGCCGCCTCGTTCTCCTCCAGTGCTGTACGTAGACAACAAGGCCATGCTGGCCTTGTGTCGAGAGCAGCGCTTGGAGCACAGAACGAAGCACATTGCTCTCCGTTACTTCCTTGCTCGTGAGCTGCAGCAGCGTGGTCAGTTGCGACTTGCGTACGTGGCCTCTGAGGCCAACACTGCTGATGTGTTCACCAAGGCACTCGCGCCTTGTGACCATCAGCGCTTTTGCACCCAGCTGGGTCTTGTACCTGTCTTGCCTCACTTGCTCTCCTCTTGACTTCACTTGTACTGTGACATATATATATACCTGCTCTTGCTTGTCTAGTTTTATATATATGTCTGTACTCCTGCATGTGAACTGGCCTCTGGCCTTGCTCTTGTGCTCGGACTGTGTGGTGACTTTGTGATCCACCCTGAGCTTGCTTTGCTTTGCTTGACTGGTGTTGTGACCCCTAGTTCTCCCCCACTTTGCCTATGGGGGTGTGTCAAACATCATATATGTTATGCTTGTGTAGGCTACAGTGGGTTAGCCTATAGGGGGTACACAATTCTAGGGTTTCCCACTTGTACTCATTTTCACTGCTAGTTCATCCATTCCTGTTCGCTTATTCTCACACACCAGTGTCACGAAGCCACACTACACGAATCAACATAGGTAGGCACTACTGCTCAATAAATCCATGAAACAAAACGGTACGATATGACATGTTACGAAAAGGGCGATGGGTGTTGCCATGACATGCAGTGACTCGATACGAACGACCCACCATCGGTTCGGAAATCCCGTTAGTGTGACGAGCATCGTAGACCCGTCTCCTTGGCACTTGTCCCCAGGGCCTCAGCGAAGCATATTACGGTACCAGTACGTGAAGCAAGAATACATTTTCACTGATGCTCTCTGATGCTCTGAAACACCTGAAAGTTCAGACTTCAGCCTGACTGGATCACTTCTCCAATCCTAGGCCTGACTGGGCCACGCCTCGAGCCAAGCCACGGCCCAAGCCAAGCCACGCCCCAAGCCAAGCCACGCCCCAAGCCAAGCCACGTCCCAAGCCAGGCCACGTCCCAAGCCAGGCCACGTCCCAAGCCTAGCCACGTCCCAGGCCAAGCCACATCCCAAGCCAAGCCATATCCCAAGCCAAGCCACATCCCAAGCCAAGCCACGTCCCAAGCCAAGCCACGTCCCATGCCAAGCCACGTCCCACGCCAAACCACGTCCCAAGCCTAGCCACGTCCCAAGCCAAACCATATTCCAAGCCAAGCCACATCCCAAGCCAAGCCACATCCCAAGCCAAGCCCAAGCCCGAGTGCACAAAGATTGGGCAGAGAACACCAGTCGACTGATTGGCTTTACTAGCCGAAACAGCATGCCATGCCAGGCCACATTCTGCCATGCCAAGACATTTCATGCATTGCCATGCGATGTGACGCCTTGCCACACCATGCCATGCATTGTTGTGCATTGTCATGCCATACCATGCCATGCCATGCCATGCCATGCCATGCCATGCCATGCCATGCCATGCCATGCCATGCCATGCCATGCCATGCCATGCCATGCCGTGCCGAGCTATGCCGTGCCGTACCATGCCGTGCCGTGCCATGCCACGCTGTGCTATGTCATACTATGCTGTGCCATGTCATACCATGCTCTGCCATGTCATATCATGCTGTGCAATGTCATACCATGCTGTGCCATGTCATACCATGCTGTGCAATGTCATACCATGCTGTGCCATGTCATACCATGCTGTGCAATGTCATACCATGCTGTGCCATGTCATACCATGCTGTGCCATGCAATGTCAAGCCATCCCATGCAATGCCATGTTGCTGCTTGTAGCCTTGATCTCATGAGAATGCAGTGTATCCCATGACATTCAGCAAGAACGGCATCAAGCATCAGCAAGAATGCTGTGCGGCTGTGCCCATAGCAGCATAACCTTGCAGTCTGCTAACACCATCCGGCCCCATGCTGCTGCTGCCGTGCTACTCTTCACATCCCACCCACGGCTCCATGCCCCCTTGCCGCCTCCTCTCAACCCTCCCTCCTCACAACCTTCTTATCACTAGCATGCTGCTGTACCCCCACACCAGTACCAACACAACACCTAGAAAAACTCCCCCAGCGTTCCCCCAGCCCTATACCAAGCCTCACCCGAGGCTCTCCAAGGCTCCCCGAGCATTCCTTAGCTCCCCTGAAGCTACCCGTGGCTCCACAAGCCTCCCCGAGCCTCTCCAAGGGGCTGAAAGACAGTCGGCGCAACTCCAGGCACGCCCGAAAGCTCTCAAGCTGACAGCTCAAGCCCTCAAGCCGACACGCAACACAGGGACTGAAAACTCCTCTCCTCGGTGCCAGCTGTTTCGCCAATCAGCGCCAACTTCGCCATGCTTCGAAAGCCAGCTCGCTCAGGCTACAACCAAACCATCTCCCCCCCCCCCTCTCCCCCCCCCCCCCCCCCCCCCCCCCGAGTCGAAATCGAGTTACCCCGAGCTGCGTGGAGTCAAGTAGAAGAGTCAAAATGGGTCGAGCCGAGTAAAAACGCGTGAAAGTAAGGGAGCAGCTCTAGCAGGGGAAAGGCTTTACCGAAAGGACGTCAGAGCGGCCGTGCCCCGGCCACAGAAAGACGTGCACGGAGCAGCCGCCCCCAAAGCCACTCGCAGAGGCGTAACGGCAAGATGCGAAAGTGGGTGGATAGACAAAGAGCGCTTTACCCTGCACCTTGCCCTGCATGGGACTGCCTGCACTCAGCAAGGCAGCGGCAGAGTAGATGACTGGTGTGGACCCTGATGCAGCCTTCGCAGCTGATGCAGGCAGTGCAGTGGCAGTGAGGGGGCGTGCAGTGCATGCCTCCATGCAGTGAGGCAGCACCGTGCCACCCAGTGTGGTTGCGGCTGCCTTTGGTGGGGGGCGTGCATCCGTGCATGGGAGAGACGCCACGCCACACAGCAGAGAGGGGCGGGCAGAAAAGCTGATGATGACCGTACCTCTGAAAGGCATGGGCAAGGGTGTGGGAGGAAGAGGGGTCTGATCTCTCACATTCCCGTTTCAACTGGACTCCAAAATCGCCTGGGAGGCCAAGTGTCTTGTCTCTCCCCCGTTCCCTTTTTGACTGCCCGTTCCCCTTTTCAATGCACTCCCACATTCCCTGAAGGGTGGTCATCCAGTCTCCCGCATTCCCGCGAACCTCCTGAGCATGTGCCATGCCGAGGCACACACCAGCTGCTGGCAGCGTGTGGAGGGAGGCATGCAGTGCCGTACAGTGCGGCCCAGTGCGGTGCGGTGTGGCTCTAGCCTCACGCAACGCGCATGATCGTGCCACTTGCTGTCAGCCAGGAGTTGAACAGCCACGATACCCGTCCTCCTCCTGCTGCAGGGTGTTTTTGAGAATTCTGAGGCGACTCAAGAGCGACAGCCATGCAACAGCCACGATACCCGTCCTCCTCCTTTGCCATAAATTTTGAGGTGACTCAAGAGCGACCATGATTACCCGCCCGCCCGCCCTCCTCCTTTGCCAGCACTCAGCATGAAGATTCCATCATTCGACCCACCCTCGCGGCTCTGAAAATTCTCAACAAGCCACTGGAAGGGTCATGCCTTCACCCATAGGAGCCAGAGGCTCGAGACCCGTGATAACTCGTCCTACCCCCCCCACGGCCCCCCTTCCTCCCTCCTCCCCCCCCTCCCCCTCCTCCCCCTCTTTCGCCCCCGCCCCTACCCCCCCCTCGCCACCCACTGCGCCCCCCTGCCGCTCTCCCCACACCCATGTTGTTCCCACCCCCCCTTCCTGCTCCCCCTGCCCCTCCTGCTCCTCCCGCCAATGATATTGCCGCAGCTGCCGCCGCAGCTGCTGCTGCAGCTGCAGCGGCCGCCGCTGAAACAGCCGATGCAGATTCCATCCCCGAGACTCGTGTTTCTCCTGCTGACAATGCTGCTCCCACATTTCGTTCACCTCTTATCCTCCTTGAAGTTTCCTCCTCCACTCTTACTCTCCCCTCACTCCCTTTCCCACCTCCACCTCCCCAACTGCTCACCCGGCCAGTTTTACTGCTCTCCACCCTCCCCTCGCCCTCCTCGCTGTCCCCCCAGACACCAAGCGCGGCACAGGGAGGTGATGGGAGGAACAGAGCTGACCCTCCCAGCAGCTTTGCTCCTGCTGCTGCTACTGCTGCTTCTGCTGCAGCAGCTGTTCCTGATGTTGCTGCTGCTCCTGTTCCTGCTGCTCCTGCTGCTGCTGGCGTTGGCGTTGGTACCACTGGTATGGAGTCAGAAAAGCCAGACGCGAGAGGAGAGGAGCGGCGGAGGAGAGAAGGGAGGAGGAGGTTCGAGGGCAGGCGGAGAGAGAGAGATGAGTTTGGGGGGAGTAGGATGGGCGCTGGCGGGGCAAGCGTGTGGGCTTGGGTGGAGCGATGCTGGGAGGATTGCTGGTTCTGGGTTGAACTGTTGCTGCTGCTGCTGTTGCTGCTGGTGGCAGTAGTGCTGGTGGTGGTAGTGCTGGTGGTAGTAGGAGTGGAGGGAGGGAGGATGAGAGCGGGGCAGGATGCAAAGAGGAGCGCATGGTTGGGAGTCACCTGCATGTGTGATGAGCGGGAAGGGGGGGTCGACATGGAGTCATGAAATCCTGAGTCGCGTATTTGTAACAAGTCTGGTGGAGACGATAACGAGTTTTGAGTCGGCACAAAGGGGCCTGGTGATAATGAACTCGTTGTCGTCACTCATGGTTAGGAAGGGCAGCAGTGCTAGGAAGGGCAGCAGTGCTAGGAAGGGCAGCAGTGCTAGGAAGGGCAGCAGTGCTAGGAAGGGCAGCAGTGCTAGGAAGGGCAGCAGTGCTAGGAAGGGCAGCAGTGCTAGGAAGGGCAGCAGTGCTAGGAAAAAGCTTTAGCTAGGCCTGGAGATAATAAACTCGTCACTGAGATGCCTCAAAACAGAAGGGACCTGGAAGCAATGAGGAGAACATTGTTGTGAGTCACATGCGTGCGTGATGAGGGGACAGAAAGCGACTATCCAGTCAACTCAAGAGTGACATGGGCGGAGCACTTGGCATCACAAGGCATAGACACACCGACAAAAATAGAGAGCTGAATCAAATAAGATCGAATCGAATCAAACTGACCACATAGATGCGCTGCAGAGTAGCAGCAGTTGCTGGGAAGAACCTCTTCCTGTGGCCCCACTTGCCCCCACTTGACCCTCTCTCCTTGCTGCCCTCTCCCCTCGCTGCTCCTTTCCCTCCCACATCCCCAATTGTCTTCCCATCTTGCCTCTCAATCCCCTCTCCCGTCCCGCCACTGCTGCTCGCATCACCATCACCAGCAGTCGAGGCCTTTGCTTCTCCCAATCCTACTTCCTCTTCTCTCTCCTGTTTGACAATCGCTCTTCCCACCCGTTTTGTATTCGATTCCCTTCCCCCCTCCTCTCCCTCCTCCTCCTCCCCTTCCCCCTCCTCCCCTCCCTCCTCCTCCTCCTCCTCCTCCTCCTCCTCCTCCTCCTCCTCCTCCTCCTCCTCCTCCTCCTCCTCCTCCTCCTCCTCCTCCTCCTCCTCCTCCTCCTCCTCTTCCCCACTCCCCTCCCCTTCCCCCTCCACTCTCTCATCCCTCCCCAGCATCACCTCCTCCCCCTTCACAGTAACACTCCGCACACCACGCTCTCTCACCGCCTCACACGCAGGGCACACCACCACCAGAGACTGGTCCCTCCCAACCCACTCCCCAACCCAGTCCTTCTCACCTCCAATCAATCCCTCTGCCCCGCTGCTTCGGGCGGATAGGGGCGGGGCAGCAAAGAAGCGGTGGCCGGCAGAGCAAGCGTATTCGAGGCCTAGAAAGACACACACTGACACCACCCTCACACTGCTGCTGCTGCTACTGCCATTGCTACCGCTGGTGCCGCTGGTGCTAGTGCTGCTGGCAGTGCTGCTGCTTGTGGCCCTGCTGGTGCCACTGCTGCTGCCGCTGCAGCTGGGAGGAGGGTGGGGCAGCAGGGAGCGGCGAGTGAGAAGCTTCTTTTCCGCGTCCCCTCCCCGTGCCTGAATGCTGGCTTGAGGGGGCGTGGGCAGGAGTGGCGGCTGCTGCTTCGGGTTCTTCACCTGCTGCTGCTTCAGTTGTTGCTGCTGATGCTGCAAAGCAGGCGCCACTAGCCCTGCTCCAACTCCTGCCCCTCTTCCACCAGGTGCCCCAGGCCCTAAAATGCCCTTCTCATACCCACCCTTGTCAGCCCCATGCGTTGCAGTGGCTGCGCCATGCCCTGCTGTCACCCCATGCGGTGCTGCTGCGCCATGCACAGAGGCAGAGAGGGGAGGGAACGCCATCTCAGCAGTGTTCACTGCTGCTGCTTGCCTACCTGCTCCCCCTGCAATGGCGGCAACACGGGCAAAAGAGGTGGGAGGCTGCACCTCACGAGCACGTAACGCTGCCGTTGCCCCTGTCCCTACCGCAGCTGCTGCTTTTGCCCCTGCTCCTGCCCCTGCTCCTGCACCTGCCCCTGCCCCTGCCCCCACCTCCTTCTTCCCCCCATCCTCTGCCCGTGCATCCACCTCCCCCTCTGTTTCCTGCTGCACGCCCTGCCCTCCCTGCCCCTGCTGCCACTCCCTTTCTGCAACCACCACCTTAGCCCCCTCTTCTAGTGCAGCAATAACGCCAGCATCCCCTACACTATATCGAGCCATGCAATAGCGAGTCTCGGCCACCGCCCCACGCCCACCTCCCAACCCCTTCGACGCAGCAGCTTCCACAACCCCTGGCACTTTACATCCCTCCCCTTCACCCCCTCTTTCTCCTGCCTCTCCTCCCTCTCCTCCCTCCCCTCCTTCTCCTCTGCTGTTCTCTGATTCAACTCTCTGCACCCTGCCCAGCTCCTTCACTCCCTCCATCTCCTCTCCTCCTCCTCGTTTCCTCACAGCCCAGATCTCACCTGTCACTCTCTCCCTCCCAACCCCCCCCCCTCACCTCCCCCTCTTTCCCTCCACCTCCCTCTCCTCCATCTCCCACTCCTCCACCTCCCCTCGTCCCTCCCTCCACACCCACCAACCCGCTTTCCTTTCCTGCCCCTCTGCTGCTGCCCGCACCCCGGCCTCCCTCCTCAGCCACATAGATCGCCGGCAGCTGGACTGCCCAGGGCAGAAGAAAGTTTCGCCCAGGCAGAAATCCCTCCTGCTGGACCCCCTTAATTGGGTCGTACCCATTCCGACTGCCCAGAACAGTAACACCCCACTCAAATTCCAACCCCTCACCCCCCTTCCGCTCTCTCCTCTGCACGTCCTCTCTCCATTGAGATTCCGTCTCGCCAGCTTTAGAGCTTTGCCTGTTCGCCTTTGCTTCTCCCCAGCTCGTCTGGTCAAGAGGAATGGACCAGAGCAGGTCGCAGCAGGAAAGCGATGGGCGGAGGAGGGAGGAGAGCGAGAAGGAGGAGAGGGGCGTAGGGAGGAAGGGGTCACAGAGAAGAGCTTGAGTGCTGCCACAGACACACGCACACAGCAGCACTGCCCCGCTCTCATGCCTGCTCGCCCCACTCCCACACCTGCTCGCTCTGCCCTCGAAGAAAGCTGCAACAGTGTGTTCCCGTTGCCCTGCTTCCCCTGCCCTCCTTGCCATCCCGTGCACCTCCTCCCTCACTGCCACCCCCCACCTCTCATGCCCTAGCGGTAACCAGCATGGTAATCCCAAGGCAGACACCGCCTCACACTGCTGCCTCCCTCCTCCCACTCCTCCCACTCCCTTCCCCACCCAGTGCTCATAACACTGCCGCGTCAGCAGCTCGAAGAACTCCCCCCGGGCAGGTCCTCGGGCGGCCTCCGCGAAAACTTTCACGGCTGCCCAGAAGTGTGTTTGGTGCACACGGGCAGTGTAGAGCTGCCCGAGGCCCCTGCGGTACGTGTGGAGGGCGCGGGTGAGGGCAGTGCGGCAGAGCAAGGAGGAGAAGCGCGCTGCACGGGAGCTGGACGAATCTGATTGGTCGCAGTGCATGTGCGTGTGCGTGAAGGGAGGTTGGGATGGCGTGAGCACTGCTGCTGCTGTTGATGATTGTAGAGATGGTGTTGCCGATACACCCACCCTTCCTTGTCCTCCTCCTCCTCTTCCTCCTCCTCTCCCTCCTCCTCTTCCTCCTCCTCTCCCTCCTCCTCTCCCTCCTCCTCTCCCTCCTCCTCTTCCTCCCCCTCTTCCTCTTCCTTGCACGTCCCTCTTCCTACTGCTACCAGCACCTCTGCCAGGATAACCAAACGCGGTCAGCACCGCACCAAACTCCTTTGCATCCCCTTGGAACCCTCCGTCCACCCTCTGACCAGAACCCTGATCCCTTTTCCCTCTCCACTCACACACCACACGAGCCACCCTCTCACACCCAGCCTGCCACGTGTCAAAATCTGGTAGCTCCCACGGTAGCCCCCCTCCCCCCACTCCGCCTGCAGTTCCCCCCACGCCTCCCCCCATGCGCCCTCTTGCCCCCCCTCCCCCCATTCCCCCTCTTGTCAGCCCCAGCGCCCCCGCCCACCCTCCCCTCCCCCTCATGCCCCCTCTCCCCCCCCCTGCCCCTGCCCCTACAGCTGCTGCTGCCCCTGCCCCTGCCACTGGCCCTGCTTCCACATCCGCCCCTTCATTTCCTCCTGCTCCTGCTCCTGCTCCTTCTCCTCCTCCTCCTCCTGCTGCTGCTGCTGCTGCACCCGAACCAGCTGGCACAGCTGCGGTTGGAGCAAGGGACAATAAGGCGGTACCGCTGCCGTCCGTGGCGCCACTTCCCCCTCTGCCCCCAACACTGGCAGAGCCAGCGCCTCGCCCTGGGAGGGGCTGAGCGGCCTTCCATCGAGCCTCCATCACCTCCCTCTGCCCCACAATAAAGTCCCAGATCGACCCCGCTGCTGACTCTGCTAGTTCTGATGAGGAGGAAAGTGGTGCTGCTGAGAGGGCTGATGTGAGGGTGGAGGGTACGTGGGATTGCGGTGCGGTGGAGAGCGGTGCTGGCGGGTTGAGAAGCACGGGGGAGAAGGGCGCGAGGGATGAGAAGGACGGGGAGAGGAGGGAGAAGGAGAGAGGAAGGCCTTGCTGCTGCAATGCCACGCTCGCGTTCAATCCCTTGCCGCCCAGTTCTTGTCCCATGCCGCCCAGACTGCCGCCCAAACCGCCACCCGGATTGTCGCCCAGTTGTGCAGCCATGAGGGCGTCAGTAGCAGTGGAGAGGCCGCGTTGGTTGGAGAGAGCAGAGTGGTGAATGACGAGAGCACAGCGAGAGGGGTCCAGCACGAACAGAGGGGACGCTGCTGCTGCCACCGCTGCTGCCAGTGTTGCATCTTCTGCTAATGATGGTGGTGGTGCTGCTGCTGCTGCTGCTGGTGGTGGCGCTGCTGCTGCTCCTTCCGCATCTTTCATCTGGCTCAGTGCTCCACTCTTCATCATGGCCGTCCATTGCCTCAGCCAACGGGGGCCTGCCACGTGTACGTCCACAGCAGAGGCCACCGGGCGGCAGCGCTTGAGCAGTGATCTGATCTGCGACTCCAGGGCGGATTGCATGCGGCGACGGATGACCAATGGCGACATGACAGGTGGACTCGCGTCACTGGCCGCACTGGTACCAACAGTAGAAGCACCAGCAGCACCAGCAGCACCAGTGGCTGATCCTCCTCCTCCTCCTGCTGCTACAGCAGCCGCCTCCCTGCCCCCAGCCCCACCATCCTTGCCTCCTCCCTCGCCCTTCCCTCCTCCTCCTGCGGTGTGAGTCACGGCGAGAGCAGCCTGAGCGGAGGCGAAGGGGACGGGGAAGGCGAAGAGTAGGCAGGGCGTGGAGAACCCGGGCAGCAGCTGCAGCCTGCACGCCTCCTCCTGCCCCTGGGGGTGATGCTCACCGTTCACGCTGCTGCTGCTGTTGCTGTTGCTGTTGCTACTGCTGCCAGTGGTGGTAGTGGTGGTGGTAGTGGTGCTGCTGCTTGTGGTGGGAGCAGCATGAGGGGAAGGTTGGCGCAGGAGCATGTCTGGGGGAAGGGCTGGCAGCAGCAGCGCTGCATCCAGCACAGGCTGGGGCAGCTCTTGCAGCAGCTGATTCTCCTCGCAGTGCTCTGGCGTCGTCGGATGCTTTGGCAGTGTCTCCCTCGGTCGGTGGGGCAGCAGCAGGCGCGGCAGCAGGGCGAGCTTGGCGCGCTGCAGGGAGCGGAAGGAGCGCAGCAGGTGCGGGTGGAAGAGGGGCGAGGGGCTGACACATACCACCACGTGGCACGCTGTGAATAACAGCAACCACGCCCGCTCCACCGCTGCCTCCATGTCACCCTCCTCCTCCTCTTCCTCTTCCTCTTCCTCCTCCTCCTCCTCCTCCTCCTCCTCCTCCTCCTCCTCCTCCTCCTCCTCCTCCTCCTCCTCCTCCTCCTCCTCCTCCTCCTCCTCCTCCTTCCACTCTTCCTCCTCCTCCCCTTCTTCCTCCTCTTCATCTTCCTCCTCCTCTTCCTCCTCTTCCTCCTCCTCTTCTTCCTCCTCCTCCTCCTCCTCCTCCTCCTCCTCCTCCTCCTCCTCCTCCTCCTCCTCCTCCTCCTCCTCCTCCTCCTCCTCCTCCTCCTCCTCCTCCTCCCCCCCTGTCCCATTCTCTCCGCCTACCTTTTTAAAACGCCCCTCCCGTTCTTCCCTTTTCTCGGTTTCTTTCTCTCCCATCTCTTCCCCCACCTCTTCCCTCACCCCTTCCCCAGCGCCCACCTCACTATCTGCTCCCTCCTCCTTTTTAACCACGAAATCCCCAACCCCCCCTTCACTCATACCCCCCTTCCCTTTCCCCTTGCCATACTCTCCATCTGACGTCGCGTTAGTCCCACTTTTAGCAGCACTCCTAGCTGCGCTTTTAGTCACACTTTTACCAGCGCTCCTAGCCGCTCGTCCACTCACACTCGTGCACAGCTTCACCAGCACCAGCTTCTGCTGCCGGTCATAAAACTGCTCCAGCATGCCACGTGGCAGCCCCAGGCGACGCCACGTGGCAGCACCAAAAAAATCCTCCTTGCCCTCACCACCACCACCACCACCACCAGCAGTCACATACCCGCTATAAGCATCTCCAGCAGCGTCCGAAGCGAAGCCCGTAGAGGGAGAGGAGAAGGCAGGGTACTGCAGCAGGTGGTTAAGCAGTGCTGTTAGCTCCGACTCATTTGGGCCGAAAAAACCCACCACCAGCACCCCCTTACGCTCGCCGCTCGCGCTACCACTGCCGGCACTGCCGCTGCCACTGCCGCTGCTGCTGCTACTGGTACGGCTGGTGTTGGTGGTGCTGCAGATGCGATGGGGAGACACACACGGGTTTAAGGTAGGTACAAGGAGAAAAAATGGGAGACACGAGGCTACGTGAGACACATGCAGAGAGCGGGAATATTCAAATAGGAAGAGTGAAATGAGGGCTAGATAGCGAGGCCGAGAGTGAAACCCCAGCGCAAGATGATGGAACGAACTGACAGCAGGGGAAAAGGCATTTCTCCTCTCACCCTGGATATGACGTGGCAGTTGATCCGGCGTCGCTGCGCGCCGATCCTTCACTTTGCTCCGCAATTCGCGGAAAACGTCCTCCGCCGCTTACCCTCCCTGCGCCTCCTTCCGCAACGGAGACCTGATGTCCCCCGCCGCCAGGCCTCGAAAACCCGCCACTTCCGCTCCGGCTCCCGCGCGCCGATCCCGCGGAGTTAATATCTACCATTGATTGCCGATAAGCCTGCTGGCTTGGCGGCCGTTGAGATTGATACCTAGGCTGTTGCTGCACCAGAGGGTGCCGACGCTCGCGTGTCGAGCCACGCCCTGGATCGCTGCTGTCCCCGCTGTCTCTACCCCTACCGCGGCCAGCGCCGCCATCGTCGCTGGCCATCGGCCGACAATCTTTGCAAGGAAATGAATCCATGTGACCGGAAAGCAGGATAATCTATTATAAGTTAGAAGGGGAACGTTGTCATAACGTCAGTAGTCCAATGGTTAGGATATTTGCCTTCCAAGCAAAAGATCCGGGTTCGATTCCCGGCTGACGTATTGAGGGAGAAGAAGAGTATCTGTAGATATTTCTCACTGATGCAATAAGATGGGAGAAATGTTCACGCCACGAGTTGCAGGCAGGAATCCGAATATAATCCCAAAGCTGAGGTCCACGTATTGAGTGTTGTAGTTTTTATGCCAACCCTTTCGTGCGGCCTGATTGGAGAACGAAGTCAGCATGTTTCAGAAACACCGCAGCAGACGAACTCAGACAGGAAACGCGAATCCAGCCCAATTTCGTGCTGACGGGTGGTTTTTCGTTTTTAGCCTGTCTGATTCGTCAGACTCTCACAAAGTTGTAGTCTGAATCTGACAGAGTTGCAAAAAAAAATGTTGAAAGTTCAGAGTTCCCTAAAATAAAAGTCTGAAAGATTCAGAATCACCACCTACAACAAGTCTGGTTGTCTTTCTAGCTGTCTTGCTGAACTGCTGGTCTTGTTTGAACTACGTAACGTACATTGCAAAAGTCTACATACAAAATGCTACTTTTCTTTGATTAGCCAAAGCTAGAACTATCCTATTCGTGTATCCTAGCACTACAACATCCTACTAATCCTCCTCTCCTAGACTCCTACTCATTAAATCCATCATCACCATCGCTGTCAACTGCATCCTGCTCATCTTCTATGTCAACTACTTCCATCTCTTCATCTACCTCCCTACCCTTCTCGTTGTGTTGCTTTCCTGCAGGCGGGAGTGGAGCCTTGCTCTGGGGCTTGCGCTTCTTGTAACTCCTCCAGACAATCACAATCTCATCCCAGTCGGAGGCGTAATCCATCAAGCTCATGCACATAAGGTCCCCTAGGCGAGCATCCTTAAGCGCGCCCCTCTTCCACGACTTAATGATGTTCTGGCGGGAGAACCCCGGCTCGCACTCCACGGTGCTCAGCGGCAGTACAGCAACCGCCACCCACAGGAGCACCAAGTTGGGGTAGTTCTCCCGCCAGTCGGGAGTCTTGAGCATGGCAGTGAAACCTGCGTGAAAGCTGCGCTCGCCCTTGGTAGATGCTGCAAGCACCGAAGTGAACATGCGCAGCTCCTTCTCTGCGCGGCGCTTGTCAATTCCTGACGGGATAGGAAGTATAACAGGAGGAGCAAGCTCAGAACCCAAATTCAAACATTCATTGAAGCGACATGCAATACAAACGATGCATCGGGGTAGCCTGATATTAAAACCAAGCTGCTTAATGGCTTACTTGGCAGGATCTCATCCGTCAGGTCGGCCTTGAACAGCGTGTCAAGCGACTAAAGCCACTCGAGGCACCTGCGGTTCCTCTCTCCACACTCCAGCGGGTACTCGTCGGGGGTGAAGAGCCTAGCGCCGGACATCCCGTTCAGGTCGCCAAGCCGGTGCTCCAGTTGGTGCACGATCACCTCGGCGAACTCTGTGCAAACCTCCACACAGCCATCGTGGGTGCCGGGCCCTTCGAACTCTTCCAGCTCGTCCTCGTGCAGCACGAATTTGAAGCGTGCTGGTCGGCCGTCCGAATCAATCCCTTCAACCTTCACCTCCCATTTTCCTCCAGGCCCATGGCGCGCGATGAAGGGGGACAGCAGCTCGCTGACGCCACCTCCGAAATCGTCTCCGCAGTCGACGTAGCGGCTCTCGATGTGGGATGTTGTACGCTTGATCTGCGCATGCACGCTGGCATAATCAAGCTGGAAAGAAACACGTGGAAAGGTGGTTAGTGACTGAAGGTTAGAAGAAACGAAGCTGGCATTAGCACAAACACTTAACAACTAGTAACAAGAAACCAGAGCTTACCTCCTTGTGCTGGAATGCCCTGTTGAGTATGTTCAGCTGCTCAAGCACATCTGCAATGAAAAACAGGAGGAAATGAAACATGTAGCTCGTCACCAGCGCATAGAGCGTCGCGTCCCACTCCTTCAACATCACGATGAGAGCCGGAAGGATGGCGACGAGCCTGAGCACTGCGTCGCCCCGGGAAAGCCAACGGACTGCATGGATCCGTTGCAGCTCCAGTGAGGTGGAGGTGAAGACTTCCTGCAGCCCCATGAACCGCTGATGCCATGGCCCACTTCGACCGAGATGCTCAGCCACGGTGCGGATCACCGTGTCAATGACGTTGGAGGCGGGAATCTTCTCTGCGGCTGTTTTAGCCACCAGTGCCTCCCTGTAAAAACAAAAAGGGAAACATTAGTCACATGTAGCCGTTAAAAAACTTCAAACAATTCTATGCACCTACAGGCATACTTGTGCGCGATGCAGTGGGATGACACCAAATGAGGAATGCGCACGCGGAGGCGTGTCGTGAGGCCGCCCTTGCAGCCCATCATGACGTTCGCGCCGTCGGTGCTGATGCCTGCAATGCGCTGCAGGTCGACCCCGACTGACAGAAGAGAAGCAGCGTCGACCTTCTCCACGGTGAGAAGCGCCATGAACTCCGTGACGACCTTGAAGTCACGGACGAAGGTGATGAACAGGATCATGCGCATCTTCTCATTGTCCACCGCGGCGCGATGTTGGTCGATCTTGGCTACCGTCCAGCGCACTCCTCTTCAGATTTCTGTCTCTCAACCGCCAGCTTGTGCTTCGCCGTGCCAGCGTGTTTACGGAAAGACTGTGTTTGCAGGTCGGTGGCGCCTCTCCCGCGCCTCCTGCACTTTCCTGCATCGCCAGCATAGGCTGCACAAACGGTACACTTGAACGCAGGCAAGCCGGTAGTAGTTTTAGAGATTCTGAGCCACGGAAAACGGGTAGACCAATGATTTTTTAACTTGTCAATCGCTTCGTCTTAAACTCCCTCGATGAGCTCGGCCAGATTGATGTTGAGGCGATGTCGCGGTCGGTCAGATGTTCTGGGGGCGTTGTTGACGTTGGCAGTTGACGACGCAGGTTTGCCGAAGGTCAAGGTTGCCTGCTTGAGACGGATCGTGCCCGCCGTGGTCTGAGTCGGAATCTGCGACTGTGAATCTATGGTTGGTTCCGCAGATGTCTCTGCCACATGGTCGGGAGAAAGTGAGATAACTGGAGCCACGGGTGCTTTCTGTATGGGAATCGTATCGGGCGTGGCGCGTGCAGCTTTATCGATATCTAGTGTACTAAGCAAGAAGTCCAAGCATGTTAAGGCAGACCGCTCATCAAGGTCGTCGTCGCCTGTGGCGGGATTGTCCAGCACCGCCATGGCGGGGCTATGAAAGAGCCTGCCGAGCAGGAACTAGAGAGATGATGGCTGAGGCAAAACTGGGCACTGGCTTGGGCCCGTGAGTTGAAGCTGAGGGGTGTGGATGAAACCCTAGCACAAACACGAAGGCCCTTTACCAAGATGGGCGATCATTGAGTTGTGTGGGTGGTTGCCTTCCATGCACGGCAACGACGAGGCGCATCGTTGCAGTGTGTGGTGTGGATGTTGCAGCATCGTGGTACACGATGCTGCCTAAAGGACCGTCTGCTTGCCGTCACGTTTACGTGGGTGGCAACTGCTGCAGCATCTTGTACAGGGGTGGTAGTGGAGTTCGTGACGGCGGACAAAAGATGCCAAACGCACCAATCAATGCGCGAGGAGGGTGTGTGCTGGAGCTTACACCGAGGGAAAGAACGCGCCGTAGGGCGGGTGAAACATCTAGCTGTACGAGGGAAACATCGGGCCGCAGGGCGGCGGTACAGGTACAATGTATGTACCACAGCTAATCCTGGGTGTCGGCGCGCAGGTTGATTCATTCAGAGTCGGAACTCGTTTGTACTCTGAATTTATCAGAGTACACTCCCGGAAAACTCTGAAACGTCAGAGTCAGCCTAGAGAAAAATCTGATTTTCACAGAGTTGAGACAATAAAAAATATGAATTTTACAGAGTACACCCTAAAAAAAATCTGAAATCTCAGACTAAAACAAGCAAATCAGACAAAAAAGTCTGACTTCTGGGGGCCTGGGGGGAAGGCTGATGGATCTGCCAACCCCACAACCAATGTATAGGGGCATGACTGAGTCCTGACTGATCCTTGGGTGTGGGATTACGCCAAAGTGGCGGTAAATTCATGTCCTCGTTACTTCAGGTTCTGCATGTTTAGGTATCAAATTATACCAGTAAGGGTACTTACCTCTGGGAGATTTACGGTGCTCTCCATGGTTTGGCAACCTGTGTTACACGCGCACTGTACAGCACACGACTCGTTGGCAGATAGTTTAGCTAAAGTCCCTAGGGTCTCTATCGGTTGTAGGATGTGGTAACGGAGATACATTGCACAACAAGCAATTCATTGAAAGAAATTGTTACGCCAAGTAGTACAGTAACAGCAAGAAGGTGAGAGAAGTACATTGCACAACACACCACGCATTGACACCAAATCTAGCACAAGTACATGCAGGTATGTTTGCAATGGAGAACAAGAACTGAGCGCACAGAATGCCCCTTGTCATCCTCCCACGTGATGCTGCCATACTTGAACAACCTGAACCTCATCCACACTACAACCTTCACCTTGAACCTTACTCGCTCCCCAGGAGCTATGGTAAACTTTGAAGGCACCACTCTCACACTCACAAACTTGGGGGCCTTTATCCTCACCCTATAGGTCGACGTGGTATCTGAGACGCTCGTCACAGTCCGTGTAGCGGTAACTTTATTCGCTATGTTGACCAGCGAGATAGAAGGACGATTCAGGTTCCTGGCTGGGACGGGTGTCAGTGGGACCTGTCCGAACGTCTGTCGAGCCCTTTTCATGCTCACGTCAGCAAGAAAGTTGCGGAAATCTTGCTCCCCGGCATCATAGGTCAACCCAGGGTCAAGCGCACTAGCGGGAAACACATGCCCCGCTCCCATTTGCCACGGCGTGGCTGGCTTCCCATGTAGATTTCTAATAGGTTTCTTCTTGTTGTCTGTGCGGCGCGCTGTCGTCATCATTGCAGACATGACCTTTGCAGGCGTCCAATCAGGATGCTGCTGGATGATCAGAGCAGCCACACCGGCAATATGCGCCGCCGCCACGGCCGTGCTCTTACGAGCCATGAACGACCCCGTCTCGCCGACGGTTGCCCCGGGAGCAGCGGCAAGGATGTTGAGTCCCGGGGCTATGATGTCCGGCTTGAGAATGGCGTTGGAGGGGAAAGTCTTCCTTGGGTGGCAGATGGTGCACTGGGCCATCATGACTGGGCCGGACGCGGACCATTCGGGAACCCTCGGGTAGGAAGTTGCTGAAGGGGTGGTGGTGGCAGGAAGTCCGGTTCCCACCAGTGCTGACATGTGGGGGCATGCTGTTGCTAATGGGCATAATACTGTTGCTGTTGGGCCTGTGGTGTTTGCAGGAGATTCTGACGCTGCTCGTTCAGCTGCTGCTGCTGTTGTTGTTGTTGTTGTTGTTGTTGTTGTTGTTGTTGTTGTTGTTGTTGTTGTTGTTGTTGTTGACATTGAAATGAAGGCGGCCTGAGGCACGGTACTGCGTGGTGGGGCAGGGAGGGTGTTGGTTGGCATGAGAAGGGCAAGAAGAGACGCCGGATGAGGGCGGAGATGCAAGATGAGGGCGGAGATGCGAGATGAGGAAGGAGATGCGAGATGAGGAAGGAGATGCGAGATGAGGAAGGAGATGCGAGATGAGGGCGGAGATGCGAGATGAGGAAGGAGATGCGAGATGAGGGCGGAGATGCGAGACGAGTGAGGAGATGCGAGATGAGGAAGGAGATGCGAGATGAGGAAGGAGATGCGAGATGAGGAAGGAGATGCGAGATGAGGAAGGAGATGCGAGATGAGGGCGGAGATGCGAGACGAGGGCGGAGATGCGAGATGAGGGCGGAGATGCGAGATGAGGGCGGAGATGCGAGATGAGGAAGGAGATGCGAGATGAGGAAGGAGATGCGAGATGAGGAAGGAGATGCGAGATGAGGAAGGAGATGCGAGATGAGGAAGGAGATGCGAGATGAGGAAGGAGATGCGAGATGAGGAAGGAGATGCGAGATGAGGAAGGAGATGCGAGATGAGGGCGGAGATGCGAGATGAGGAAGGAGATGCAAGATGAGGAAGGAGATGCGAGATGAGGAAGGAGATGCGAGATGAGGAAGGAGATGCGAGATGAGGAAGGAGATGCGAGATGAGGAAGGAGATGCGAGATGAGGAAGGAGATGCGAGACGAGTGAGGAGATGCGAGATGAGGAAGGAGATGCGAGATGAGGAAGGAGATGCGAGATGAGGGAGGAGATGCGAGATGAGGGAGGAGATGCGAGATGAGGGAGGAGATGCGAGATGAGGGAGGAGATGCGAGATGAGGGAGGAGATGCGAGATGAGGGAGGAGATGCGAGATGAGGGAGGAGATGCGAGATGAGGGAGGAGATGCGAGATGAGGGAGGAGAGCGTGGAGAAGTGCATGAACGAAGAGCATGTGGTAGCCTGTCCTCACAGCCTGGGCAAGGAAGAGGAGGAAGAATCACCATGTGTGCACATGTCCTCACAGCCTGGGCAAGGAAGAGGAGGAAGAATCACCATGTGTGCACATGTCCTCACAGCCTGGGCAAGGAAGAGGAGGAAGAATCACCATGTGTGCACATGTCCTCACAGCCTGGGCAAGGAAGAGGAGGAAGAATCACCATGTGTGCACATGTCCTCACAGCCTGGGCAAGGAAGAGGAGGAAGAATCACCATGTGTGCACATGTCCTCACAGCCTGGGCAAGGAAGAGGAGGAAGAATCACCATGTGTGCACATGTCCTCACAGCCTGGGCAAGGAAGAGGAGGAAGAATCACCATGTGTGCACATGTCCTCACAGCCTGGGCAAGGAAGAGGAGGAAGAATCACCATGTGTGCACATGTCCTCACAGCCTGGGCAAGGAAGAGGAGGAAGAATCACCATGTGTGCACATGTCCTCACAGCCTGGGCAAGGAAGAGGAGGAAGAATCACCATGTGTGCACATGTCCTCACAGCCTGGGCAAGGAAGAGGAGGAAGAATCACCATGTGTGCACATGTCCTCACAGCCTGGGCAAGGAAGAGGAGGAAGAATCACCATGTGTGCACATGTCCTCACAGCCTGGGCAAGGAAGAGGAGGAAGAATCACCATGTGTGCACATGTCCTCACAGCCTGGGGCTGCAACCTCCGTCACTCTCTAGCGAGTCCTTCTCACCTGGCCCCCACGCTGATGTAGTAGGGTGAAGAGTTCTTGACGACATGTAACTGCCCGAACCAGTACTGGTGAAAAGTTGGTGTCGACTTGGGATTGTTGCCCGCTGCCAGGACCACCGTCACTCCGGCCTGAAGAGGGGAGGGAGGGAGGGAGGGAGGGAGGGAGGGAGGGAGGGAGGGAGGGAGGGAGGGAGGGAGGGAGGGAGGGAGGGAGGGAGGGAGGGAGGGAGGGAGGGAGGGAGGGAGGGAGGGAGGGAGGGAGGGAGAGAGGGAGGGAGGGGGGGAGCACAAGGAGTGAAAACAGAAGGGCACGGAGAGTTAGTGGAGGGTGCTAGGGTCAGAGAGAGTAGCATCACCACAGAGAAATTGAGACAACCACATGAGGGATGGCTGACAAGGGGGCTACAATAGTATGCAAGCATGAGTGGAAGTACAGTACCGATCTGTACTCGCGAGTCACACCCACCCACCACGTTAGTAGGGACGCTCGAATCTGCTTACGAAAACAGCTTGGGCCACCAGGCCAACCAGCGAAGCCTTACCTACCGCATTCCCCTCACACCCACCGCATTCCCCTCACACCCACCGCACGCCCCTCACACCCACCGCAAGAGCGCCGAGGAAAGGAATGTCGTCGAAGTAGTTCCGCTTGCCGACCTCCACTGGTAAGGGCATCAGATTCACGGCCAGCACATCCACACCGTCCGCCACGGCCTGATCAACGGCTGCTAAGACGTCTGCGTATGTACCGTAGGTGTCCGTTTCATCTGAGAGCGAAGAATATTGAAGCCAGTACACCTTGTAGATGGCCAGGCGTGCCTTGGGAGCCACGCCACTGATGGTGCCCCCTCCAGGCACCTCAACCCCGCTGTTGCCCGCTGCCGCTCTGAGTTGGGGCGCATGAGGCAGGGAAGGAGTGGGTATGAGGGGTATGCCATACCGTTGCTATGAGGGGCTTGCAGTGGTATGAGAGGCTATGAACGGCTACGAGCGGTTATGAGGGGCTATGAGGGGAATGGCCTTGCTACGTGCATTCCTTTCCCCATGTCTGCTAAAGCATAATGAACAGCATTGAACAGCGCCATGCCATACGCTTGAGAGTAGGGGGAACTGATAGAGAGCGAGGGTGGTCGGAGTTGCGAAGATCATCATGCGCCATGCACCATGCGCCATGCACCATGCGCCATGCACCATGCGCCATGCACGATGCGCCATGCACCATGTGCCATGCACCATACACCATGCATCATGCACCTTGCACCTTGCACCATGCGCCATGCGCCGTGCACCATGCACCATGCACCATGCGCCATGCACCATGCACCATGCGCCATGCACCATGCATTTTGCACCATGCACCATGCGCCATGCGCCATGCGCCATGCGCCATGCACCATGCACAATGCATCATGCACCTTGCACCTTGCACCATGCGCCATGCGCCGTGCACCATGCACCATGCACCATGCGCCATGCACCATGCACCATGCGCCATGCACCATGCCCCATGCGCCATCTACCATGCGCCATGCGCCATGCGCCATGCGCCATGCGCCATGCACCATGCGCCATGCGCCATGCACCATGCACCATGCGCCATGCGCCATGCACCATCCACCCTGCACCACGCAACATGCAACATGCACCGCACATCCGTGCACTCACCTCACGTCCCTGCACTCACCCGGCACACCATGTGCCGTGCACCATACGCCGTGCAACATGCAACATGCACGCACCGCACGCCCCTGCACTCACCTCACATCCCTGCACCCACCTCACGTCCCTTCACTCACCTCACGTCCCTTCACTCACCTCACGTCCCTTCACTCACCCGGCACACCATGTGCCATGGCCTCTAGAATCCCGTGGGGACAGCCAGTTGAGGGTGAGGTTCACGCTTTCATATTCACTCTCAACGCCTGCGTAAAACACGCCCCCTCCGATAATCTTGTTGTTACAAGCGAAGTCGCTTGTAGTGGGACACGTGCCCGCCCACCCAGCAGGGAGCGTGCTGCTGTAGCCCTGGCGGGGACGAGGAGGGGTGGGGTGTGTAGGGGGTTGGCAAGTTGGAAAACGAAGGTCTGAGCTCGGAGATTTGAGTACTCTGCAAAGAGAGTTGGCATGAACAGTGAGGGTGGGCTTATAAGGTGAACAGTGAGGGTGGGCTTATAAGGTGAACAGTGAGGGTGGGCTTATAAGGTGAACATTGAGGGTGGGCTTATAAGGTGAACAGTGAGGGTGGGCTTATAAGGTGAACAGTGAGGGTGGGCTTATAAGGTGAACATTGAGGGTGGGCTTCTAAGGTGAACAGTGAGGGGGTGCAGAAGCAGCAGCAGCAGCAGCAGCAGCAGCGGCGGCGGCGGCGGCGGCAGCGGCGGCGGCGGCGGCAGCACGTGAGGGGAAGAGGCCCAGCAATGCGCGGCTGAGAACGTACGGTGTCGTCAAAGGAGGGGTGCTCCGGCCACACGCCGGTATCCACAATCCCAATCACCGTGCCATCGCCACCGTCGCTCGACGCTCCAGCCGGAGTGGCAGAAGCAGTGGGAGTGGCATCAGCGGGAGAGGCAGCAGCGGCAGCAGCGGAAGCAGCAGAAGAGAGGGCGTGGGGCAGGTTGAGAGACTTGTACGCGTCGGCGGGGGTGGTGGAGGTGGCGTGGCGTGTGATGGTGCGAGAGGGCGTGACGGACGCCACAGAGGGGTGCCGCCTCATGCGCTGCACCTGGGCTGCCGTGAGGATCGCTGCAAAGCCGTTCGACGCGTGCACGTAGCTGAGACGGGAAGAAGCGAGAAGAGGGAGGGCGGGCAGGGGAGGGGAAGAAGAGAGAAGGCGCGCAGGGGAGGGCGGGCAGGGGAAGAAGAGAGAAGGCGCGCAGGGGAGGGCGGGCAGGGGAAGAAGAGAGAAGGCGCGCAGGGGCGGGCGGGTGGCGGAAACAAGAAAAGAGAGGGCCACTGAGAAGTCTTTCGACGCGCGCACGTAGCTGAGAAGGGGGGGCAGAGGGAGGGTGGGAAGGGGAAGCGGAGGGAAGGTAGCATAGCAGGGGCCACGAGTGAACTTGTGCGGTTGACTTGGTTGTGGTGAGGGGTGCAAGAGTGATAGAGACGCCTGATACGGCAAAATCTGCGAGTGAAGAGATGACTCTAGAGGCGAGTGAAGAGATGACTCTAGAGGCGAGTGAAGAGATGACTCTAGAGGCGAGTGAAGAGATGACTCTAGGGGCGAGTGAAGAGATGACTCTAGAGGCGAGTGAAGAGATGACCATCTTCCCCTCACCTGCGCACCATCTTCCCCTCACCTGCGCACCATCTTCCCCTCACCTGCGCACCATCTTCCCCTCACCTGCGCACCATCTTCCCCTCACCTGCGCACCATCTTCCCCTCACCTGCGCACCATCTTCCCCTCACCTGCGCACCATCTTCCCCTCACCTGCGCACCATCTTCCCCTCACCTATACACCATCTTCTCACACAATAAAGTCCCCTCTCCTCTCACCTATAGATCATCTTCCCCTCACCTGTACACCATCTTCCCTGCGTCCACCCCGCTGTCTCTCAGCACGGCCTGCTGCGTGCGCTGCAGCAGCTGCTTGAACGCCCTCACGCCCGGCGCCCTCACGTTCAGCCGCGGCCGCCGCAACCGACGGTTTGTGCCTCCTGAACCGCTGGTAGCGGCAGCAGCCGCAGCGGTGACAGGTTCACCAGAAGCCGTGCCAACGCCACCGTTGCTTGCAACAGAAGCAGCGTCAACGCCACCATTGCTAGTCACAGAGGAGGAAAACTCGGCACCGTTGGCAGCATCAGTACTGTGGGCTGCATCGGCACCGTTGGCAGCATCGGCACCGTTGGCTGCATCGGCACCGTTGGCTGCATCGGCACCGTTGGCTGCATCGTCCGCCGTGGCATCTGTCGCGTTGCCATTAGGGTCGCTGCCCCACACGGCCGTTGCCGGGAAGCCGGGGATTCCGCCGCTGTATGAGGCGACGGGCGGTGCGGAGCGCAGGCGGACGATGTAGAGCGCGGAGACATGGGGTGAAGCTGCAGGGGATGGGGGGAGGGGACCAGGGCGAGTGGGGGAATGAGGGAAAGAGGTGGCAGGAAGCGGCAGAGCAGTGGAAACGTAGGGTGAGGTGAAATATGCAGGAAACTTTCAAAAGGACAAGGGAAGGGGGAGGGTACGTAGGCGGACAATATGTAGAGCATGCAGGCATCATAACGGGGAGCTGCAGATTGATTGGCTGGGAAAGCAGGGGCCAGGGAGAGCAGGGGCTAGGGAAGAGGTGGAAACGGGAGTGAGAGGGGGAAGGGAGGGAGCGGACTAGGCGAAGGATGCATTACAAGGGGACGCTACGAGCCTGCTTTTGAGGCGCCCCAGATATAGTATGCTACGGATGCCCGTGGTGCATGGCCGTTTGCTCACCGGGGTTGGTGGGGCGGGAGAGTGGCGTTACGGGTAGAGTGAGGAAGAGCAATGGTAGGAGAAGAAAAGCCCATGATCGATAAGGACGTTCTTTATAAAGCAACGAATGTTGTTCCTCAGAATGCGAGTGTTGCTTGTGAGAAGCCATAGAGCGATTGTAGCAGTAGTAGGGGAACGGCGGTAGTTTTGAAAAGGAAAATGACACAGAAAATGCCGATGTACTCGGAGATTTATCCTCGAGACTCTGGCTGCTGTCACTACGACTGCACCAGAAAGGGTGGTACTTCGTGAAATTAGTTGAAATCGATTGTACCTCGGGCGATGAAGCTAGATCGCCTTCTTGGGAATCTCCGTGGATCACACAGAGTTACATCAAGCGTCCCAAAAGTGCATTGGGTCCAGCCTGGCAGCTCCCTCCCACGTTGCGCCAGATTTACCCCACGTGCCGCCAACCGACACTTGCGTGTGCGACCGTTGACGAAATGCGGAACCTCGCGCCCAATCAACTCTGCATGCACGACTCCCGGCGATCGTGTGAAGTCTATTTGCACGACGTCCAGATTTCGCACTAGTAGTGCGAAATCATGGACGTGTCATGTGCAATGCCCGAACCTTGATTTCCGGACTCCCGGACATCCCATGAAGGCGATGTAAAGTCTTCCCTTCTCCCCTTGCCGCGCTTTCCTCCCTGACCCTGACCTCATCATCATGGCACTTTGCTCTCTGCCTTGCTGGCACGACTATGGTCGTAGAGGTTCCTGCTCGGTCGAGTGGGTCAGCTGGAATGCCTAGTAATGACAACAGTCGTGCAACGACTCTCAACAACGCACAATGACTCTCAGGGCGCTTGTCTTTTGGGCCCAAGTTCAAAACAAATTTCGAGCTTTGAGTGGTAACAATTCTCGAGCGAAGTTCGTCAACTCCAAGCCAAATCAAGGAAACAAACATGGACAATGAGCCCGGGTCGAGCTACACCTGAATGACGAGTGCACGTTTTGTCGAGCGTGTGCACTTTTGCACACGCTCGAGTAAGCTACGAAAATCGCGAAGACAAGAATCACTATCGTCTGGACTACCAAAGCCTTCGTTTACTAACCAGGTAAACTACGATGGTCAAGCGCGACTCGGACAGTGACCTATAAGCTCGAACTTCAGAAGTCGAGCATTTTTGTGTCACTTGCTTGACGTGAAAAGGGACACGCGATTCGACAATGAGATGTTGAGATAGTCGACTACAGGTCGACCAATGTTCATTTGCTAAAATTTGAACAAAAAACATGAACTTTGCCATCTGTGCCGAAGGACACGCGCCCTCAGTCAAATCAACAACTGAACGAGAGTTGTTCAAGGATAGGGGGAACCCTCGCGAGGTTACCCCACTATGTCGCTCAACAACCCGTCGGGAAACATGAGAATAACGACGACCGTCGTAAGCTTCGTCAAAGAATCCTACACTTATGAACATGACAGATCAACAATCCAAAGAGAATTCTAGGTTTGTGTTACATTGTTATATAGAGTATTTACATACCATTACAAACGTAGCATTCCAATGGATAGGATATTTGCCTTACAAACGAAATATCTGGATCTGATTCCCATCTCTTTCACATAGATTTTTTCTCGCTGTGTCATTTTGTATGAAGCATTTTTGTTGCCACGCTATATCGCATCTATCTTCTCCTCGGCACTTCGGTTTACACGGCCGCCATTCCAGCCTCTCCTCGCTTCACCGTGCAGCGCCCCTCATGACGCCTTCCGAATGCCTTCCCCGAGAATGTTGTCTCCCGTACTCCTCTATAATCAACAGGTACCAAACTCCAAGTTTGCCTAGCGCAACTCACACGGCCACAAGGCCCTTGTGCTACAGACTTGCGGCAAGTGAGCGAGTGAGTGAGGCGAGTAAGCGAGTGTGTTGGTCAAGTGAGCAAGGGAAAGAGGCGAGTGAGCGAATGAGCGAGACTAGTGAGCATGTGAGTGAGTAAGCGAGTGGGTGACTGAGTGAGTGACTAAGTGAAGCGAGTGAGCAAGGTGAGTGAGCAAGTGAGCGAGTGATCGAGGCGAGTGAGCGAGTGAGTTGGGCCTCATTGGGCGTTGTTGGATTGATTTAGTGATGGAAAGGAGAGAAACAGGCAAGACGAAATGTGCAGAGGGAAAAATAAGAGCAGCTCTGGTACCCTCTGCTATAAGAGTCAAGGCTCGGTGCACCAAGTGTTAAGAACTAAGGCAAGGATTGAGTAGATTAGGTGAAGGTTTGGGTACAAGACTAGGGTATCGAGAAAGTTTTGTGTACCCCCTAAGGCTATCCCCAATATAGCCTAGATAATGATATGCATGTATTTAACACACCCCCATAGGCGAAATGGGGGATAGCCAGAGCAAGCAACAGTCACAAGACCAGTCAAGAGAAGAAACAAAACACAGCTCAGGGTGGATCACAATGTCACCACATACACTGAGCACAAGCAAACGGCCACAAGGCCAGTCCACATGAAGAGGTATATAAGCAACAAGAACAGCACAGTGATCTCAAGCTAGCAAGAGCAAGCATGCAGGTATATATATAGACCACAGTACAAGCAGAGACTACAACAAGTGTGGAAACGTAGGCACAAGGCCCAACAAAGTACAAAAGCGCTGATGGTCACTAGCCTGAAGTGCCTTGGTTGATATATTAGCAGTGTTGGCCCGAGTGGCCGCGTAAGCAAGGCGAAGCTGACCCCGCTGCTGCAACTCTCGAGCCAGGAAGTAGCGCAGAGCAATGTGCTTCGTTCTGTGCTCCAGTCTGTGCTCCCGACACAAGGCGATGGCGCCCTTATTGTCTACGTACAGAACTGGAGGAGAACGAGGCCGCTCTCGCAGGTCGGTCAGTAGGTAGGTGAGCCAGCGTAACTCCTGTGCAGCCATGGCTGTGGCGTAGATCTCAGCCTCACAACTGGATTTGAGGACAGAAGACGAGCGTGTAGACCGCCAAGAAACAGAGCCAGAGCCAAGGCTGAACGTGTAACCCTGTGACGACCGCTGTGTAGCCTGGTCGTCAACCCAAGAAGCATCCGAGTGCCAAGTGAGGACAACTGGACTCCGTCCTCCAAGCACGAGCCCCATGCCCGATGTACTGCACAAGTAGAGTAGTACCCTCTTAGCAGCATCCATGTGCACCTTTCGGTGCCGACCAGGAGCCACGTAGCGAGCCAGAAGGCCAAGAGGGTATGCAAGGTCAGGACAAGTGCAGGTCATCAGGTACATGAGGCAGCCCACTAGCTCTGGGTAAGGACCACTCGGCTCTACGGACTCGTCCGAAGGTGGAGCTGAGAGCAAGTGACCTGTAGCGAGAGGAGTGTGCTGTGCTGAGGACCAGGTGAAGCCAAAGCGCTAAAGGACCTGCTGCACCATGTGTGGCTCAGTCAGTGTTGTCAACGGGAGTTGTGTTTGGCCCCGTCCTCGCTTGGGCGGAGACGACCATGGGAGCCACGAAATCGTGGGGGACCGCGGAGCCACAAAATCGTGGGGGACCGCGGAGCCACAAAATCGTGGGGGATCGTGGATCCACGAAACCGCGGAGGATCGCGGATCCACGAAACCGCGGAGGACCGCGGTGACCGAGAAACCGCGGGAGGACCGCGAAGTACCCGGTCAACCATGATATCCCGGCGGAGTACGTGAAAGTCGCCGGGGATGTTATCTACGATGGCGATCTCGGGGGTGGTATACCGAGGTCGACGTGGCTGGTGGGCGCCGTCACAGGCGGAGTGTCTGCGTTGGGCATGTGACGGAGAGTTGGGCGCCAACCAGCTGCACGCACCTGCGAAGCTGGTGCACCGTTGTCCCGCGGATGCGACGCTGTGCAGCCGACATACTGCAGCGTTGGCGCACCGCGGACTTGCAACGTTGGCAAGCCGCGACACTGCTCTGCTGGAGCACGGTCGACCGTGCTGCGCTGGCAGTGGACAAGCAAGCCTTGCTAGGTTTGATGTAGTTAGTGTTGCCAATGTTGATGCAATCATTCTGAACTTTTGTTGTGATGTTTTTTGCTAGTGAAACTCTTGCCAATTTTCCCCGTGAACTAGCAAGCAGTCTTAGCTCTTGGAAACGACTAAGGAACGAACGAACGCAGAGATCACACGAGCATCCGTGCCTAGCCCGCAGTGTAGCTCCCGTTGCAACAGTTATCTCCGCATGGTGCGGTGAGCGTGGACGACACAGCGACGAAACCTTCGGTTTAGCTGACTTCTCACTCACGTAGTTTGTTCGTAGACCGGCAGCTGTGCGGTAGTCACTATGGTAGGAGCCGTAGGTGACGGAAGTGTCGTGGACACCTTGGAAACACGGCTGGAGGACGCGAGGAGACGTCATGCGGCGAACGAGTACGGAACTCTCGCGCTGACGGTCGTTGAGGCTGGCATCCGTGCCTTGTGGGAAGCGGAGCACCCCCCTTCTCGGCCTGCATCTCCTCGACCGGTGAACAACGCGAGCGGCGTTGACGCGGACGTCAACGCGGGTGGTGGCCAAGTCGGCAGCAGCGCGGGAGGCACGTCGAGGCAGCGAGGTGTGATTCACGCCGATGAAGTCGGTGGCGTTCGGGCTCGAGGAATGCAGTCATCGGTGGCTGCAGGGACCCCGCGAAACTACGTCGGAGGCAGACGAAGTGAAATGGCGCCGATGTCGGCGGCTCACGTGACCGCGGGAGGAATTGCGCCGAGCTACGGCTACTTTAAGTTTACGCCGGACAGGATCTCGGTCACCCCTCCGCTGGTCGGCCGTCCCGACATCCTCATGTGGAAGGAAGCCATCGAGCCCCAGCAGGAGATGGCCGGGCTGATTGGCTTTGCCCGCGGAACCGTGGCGACGTCGGAGGAACATTACCCCAACTTGCGAGCGGAATTTTGCGCCGTGCAGCTGCTGACCTTTACGATCATTTCGCGGTGTTGCTCGCCGGGCGTATAGATCGCCCTGAAGTCGTGCAGGGAGTACCTTGACGCTGGCCACCGGGCGTGGCATTTCATCGAGTCAACTTACCAGGTCACCGACGACTTATTCATCTCCCAGCTTGAGGGGCAGTTGACGCACCTGCGAATGGGCGACGAGGAGACCGCGACTGACTACTGCAATCGAGCTCGGCGAATTCTCGCCACCATTCGGATGGCTGGC